ATTTTTTCTTTTTTGTCAATAATACATATTTTAGATAGTTTTTCATAATTGTGCAATTTCATCAACTTCATCAATATCAACTGCAATTTCATCAAAAACTCTATTACCACTACAAATCCCACTTAATATCCAAATGGCTATGTCAATAACATGCTTATGTCTTGGTTTTTTCTAGTCATCGGCCTGAAAAGATTAGAAAAGGTTCTTTCAGTCATTGAGCAGTATAATAAAAGCTGTTAATGTTAGACACGAAGTACATTCCTGGGACGGAGAATTTCATGTCAAAACTGAAGAAAATAACCCATTTTGTACTGTTTTAGGTATGCCTCTGGTGGGAAGCATATCGGATTATGTCGTTCATCTAAACTAAAAGTTGCAGATTTATCATATAACTTCTTTGTTGGAAGGATACCAAAATGCTTGAGTTATCTTCCAAAGTACTCCTCTATTTATCGTGATTTGAGTTCTGTTGTTATTCTTGAGCTTTTTTTTACACTAATTTGATTTGTTCTGTTCAAAGGTCAAGCTTTCAAGGGAACTGCCTTCAAGTCCAAGATATTAGGCAGCGGCCTCTTTCACAATGTGGTACTTAAATATGCAATATTTGATGAAAGTACACTTTTTATTTATTTACTGTCAAATAAGATCATGACCAAACCTCCTCCACATGACCAAACTTTATCCACATTATATTACAAATTTCAGAAGTAGAGCTTATAACTTGTCTTTTTAGGTCACAATGCACCAAAAAATCAAATCCACCCAGCAGTGACCAAAACTGAACACAAGTTTGGGTCAACAAAACCTGGATGGCTGTTTGGACTAGAAGTCATGACAGGGATAATGGTGGGAACTCTTTTTCTAGTGGCTCTTCTCACGACTGTTCACAAGTTCAACAGTAAATCTGCCATTGTTATCCCTTGGAAGAAGTCAGGTAGCATTAAGGACTGCAGGGCAGTTTACATAGGTAACTAAAATATCTGAGCATTTTCTACCATTTATGAATTTTAACCCATCACAGCCTACTTGTTACGTAAGGGGCTGTTTGGATGGAGGGTTTCGGGGGATTGATATTTATTATAATATTCCATCTTGCATTTACAAGGTCGGAAATAATGTGGAAATAAAAAATTATATAGTGTTACATTTTTAACATATAGTTATTTTTAGTCTAATGAAAAATTATACTCCGTGTAAAATTACGAAGTACAAGGGTACAAATTCAGATAAATTAGTAAAACAAAAGGACCATTTTAATGTCCTCCTACCAAACAAGCCCGAAAGGATTCTTTTTAACATATACTCCCTCTGTTGAATAATTATTGATGCTTTAGAAAAGTGTACACTTATTCATGAGGCTTACAGAAAGACCATTTTACTCTTATAATGAATATACATTGATAACCTAAGAAGATGGTAAATTTAGGCCTTTTTTTGCTAGGATGACGATTATTTGGGACTGCCTGAGAGAGGGAGTATACATTTAAAATCACTTTCCTCTTCCCTGAAAAAAAAACCCAGCCAAACAAGCCCTAAGGAATCTTACACTTATAACAGATACTGAGATGCTGAAGGATGTAGTGAGATACAGCAGGCAAGAGCTAGAGGTAGCATGTGAAGATTTCAGTAATATTATCGGCTCCTCGCCCGACAGCTTGGTGTACAAGGGGACCATGCATGGTGGTCCTGAGATTGCCGTGATATCTGTTTGCATCAAGGAAGAGAACTGGACCGCCTATCTCGAACTTTATTTTCAGAAAGAGGTGGCAGAACTTGCAAGGATAGATCATGAAAATGCAGCAAAACTGTTGGGGTATTGTAGGGAAAGCAGCCCTTTTACAAGGATGTTGGTGTTTGAGTATGCGCCGAATGGAACTTTGTATGAACATCTTCACTGTAAGTTGCCACATTATTGGTCCATTGGAACTCGGAAAATGCGAGGGAAGTTAAGTAGGGAGGACAAATATTGGAGAAATTTGGAAGCAAATGAAAATATGGACCAAAATAAAGCACTGGTTCAAACAGAATATTTCTTTATAATACTTGCACAATCTTCATTGTACGCATTTAGTCCTATTATATAAATTTATAAATGCCAACAATAAAATGGTTTTTTAATTTTACTTAAAAACATAACCATATTTTTATTTGTTTTGTATTTTCCGAGAGCATAAAGAAATAGCTTTCCTTGGTGTTTCCCGGGGTAGAATTTGTTTGGGGTCCATCATATGTCTATTCATGCTAGCCGACCCTAATGTCTTTTGGGACCTTTAGGATGTTGTTGTTTTCAAAAGCTTCAACTTTTAAATGAACAAAAAGTGCTTTTTAGGATTTAAAAACATTTTTTATTTTCCTTGCCAAACGGGTTAATTGTTTATGTAATTCTCTTCACATAAAGCACTTGTTCTTTGAAAATAATTCACCCTGAACTCACTTTTGGCTTTGACACTCTTTTCTGCTCAGTTCTTTTTGGAAGGTAACATTGTAGTTTTGCTGCAGATGGAGAGGCCTGCCAATTGTCATGGACAAGAAGGATGAAAATTGTGATCGGTATAGCCAAGGGGTTGAAATATCTACACACAGAACTCAACCCTCCATTCACTATATCTGAACTCAATTCAAATGCTGTGTATCTCACTGAAGATTTCTCTCCTAAGGTAACCAAGTTCTTTCATAAACATCATAAAGACAAGTTTTTATTACACTGATGATCTCTATCATCATTCTATTTCTATTAAATTACCATTTTACATGGAGCTATTTGAGGAAGCGGTCCAGCTCAACTAGTCACCGACTCACTCTCCCATACGGGAGGTCTTGGGTTCAAAACTCCGTGGAGGGAGTTTCAGCCCTGTTTACCCCAGGATCCCCCAACTCTCCTCCCCTAGACCCCCGGGGTAAAAAAAATACATGGAGCTATTTCGATGGCTGATTTTCATTCTGTTTTCATTCTCCATTAAACAAATTTTATTTTAATCAATCTTCAACAAGAAGTTACTGTAATATTTAACGCTATATGATCTATTTTATTAATAAAATTAACTAAGAATAACAAGTTACAGGAAAACAAGGCAAAAACAAAACCATTCATTTATTTTCCTGTTTCCTCTTTATTTTTTCAGTTCCTATGAAATTATATGAGCTGAGCTTCTTGGGGATCCATCATTTGGTTTGGAGCTTGGGAAACGTTGGGGAAAGAAATGGACATCACTAAGATGATAATGGCAAGTAAAGAAAAGCTATGGAAAACTAAGTAATATGACTTAAACTCAATAAAATTATTTCAAATATTATTTTACCCTTTTTTGGGTGAAAACATATTTTATTTATTCACTTCTACAATATGCAGACTAACAAAATCAAGCATATACAAAAATAATAAAAGTAACCTTGTACTCCGCATTATACTTTCCTTTGCATTGTCTAAGGTAAAGATAAAGATTGTAAAGTAACTTCATGTAGCAATTTTAAAACCTTTGCCCTAGCATTTTCCATTATCGAAACATACCCTTGAGGTTATACATTTGGTTGCAGCTAGTTGATTTTGAAAGCTGGAAGACGATCCTTTCAAGATCAGAAAAGAATTATATAAGCAGTGAAGGTGCAATTTGCATCCTTCCCGATTCATTGGAGGGACGCCACCAGGATCTCTCTGGAAACATTTATGCATTTGGACTACTACTTCTGGAAATAATCAGTGGCCGACCTCCCTACTGCAAAGACAAAGGATCCTTAATAGACTGGGTATCACTCTAATGCTTCTTAACAATGCTTCTAGAGGTCCATGTGGAACCAAGCTGAAGCTACTGGGAACCCGTCCAAGCCTGGACCGGTTCTGGTTCCCCAAAAACGGGTACTGGACTGACCAGTTCTGAATTGGGTATACCCTGAATCCATCATGGTTCCACCCATCCCATGATGCAGAACCGGACCGGGTCCCCTAACTTTAACACACTCTCTGTGTATGGATGTGTCTAATTTTCATGTTTACAGGCTAAGGACTTTCTTGATGTTCCTGAGGCAATGTCGTGCTTGGTGGACCCCGAGTTGAAACATTTCAGTTGTGAAGAGGTCAAAGTGGTGTGTGAGGTGATCAAAGCATGCATCCGTACATCTTATAATCGCAGAGGTTCTTCAATGGAGGAATTGTGTGGTCTGCTGGAGAGCAACATTGACACATCTATATCTGCGGAGTTGAAAGGATCTTCTTTAGCGTGGGCCGAGCTGGCGCTTTCGTCCTCCTGACACACTTCGGCTAACACACTGTAAATAAGCATATACCAAGTATAATAACTGTAACATGGTTATGGTGAAAGAGCTAACCAATTCTTTTCTCATTGGTCAATGTATATTGAATATTTGAATCAGATAGTGAAATACTGAAATAGACAAATAGTGAATGTGCTATTCAAAAAATTGCGGCTTTATTTGGTAGCCGGCTTACTCTGCTTACTACGGAAAGTAAAGTAGCTTTTGACTTATTTATTTTGCTATTTAATTTCTACGCTTTTTATTTTATTTTAGAGCGTACTTTTTGCACTCGGGCTTTTTTCCTTTCGGTTACTGTGGTTTTGTTCTGTCATACCCTTACACTGGGTGGGAGTGATGAGAGTTTTGTTCTGGCCACGTTTGGCTCATTTAGACCCAATACAAGATTAGCGAATCATATTGCTAGTCCTGTATGAGGGGGGTCGGAATTTAATTGTATAAAGTATCAAAATGATGGATAGTTATTATACAATATTGGCTAAAGGGCCAGATTGGCCCCTGAATGTATACAAATTGCTCAATTCCCACCCCAAACCCAAATAAGCTCCGATCCAATCCTCCAATCAAAAAAATTTGTTCAATCCGCACATCCACCCGGTCACCTCCTGTTCCATCCGGTTACCTTCAGTTCGTCCCCCTTAAATGCCCAGTCAGCAGGTTATTACCCTATTTTAAATGCTACTCATTAATAACCTTAACTCCAACCCCAACCAGGCTCCTCCATTAAAATATCCAGAGCAAGGAACGTACAAGGTAGATGGCTAACGATATGTCTGCGTCTTCTTCATCCGCGCTGGGGAGAAAAGTGAATCCGTACAACCCGAACTGTCTGTGTGGTGCGAAAGCCCGGTTGTGTACTACCCGGGATAGCGGCCGGCAGTTTTATGGATGCCAAAGATGGAAGGTACGAATCTGTAAATTATTTAGGGGTTTTCAGGGGTTGGTTTGTTCTTTGCTGCACAAAACCCTAAAATCTTTGAATTAGGGGCTGGTTTTGAGTTGGAAGAAGTAAATTTGAAAATTTTGTTCACAGTACTTTGTAAGTGATCTTCATTGTAGGATGGCTTAGGGTGTGGCTATTTTTTATGGAAAGATGATGTAGTTGCTTTCCATGAAAACAATGAAGCATACCTGGGGGTTAATGGAAGCATGGAATCCACAATTCATGAGCTGGAGAGGTTGATGTCAGTTATGCAACTTGATATAGAAACCATCAAACAAGTTCTTGAAAGTGAAGCAAAAGAGAAGATGTTCTGGAAGAGAATGTGGCAAGGTCTTCTGATTTTTATTCTTGCTGTTGTTATTGTGAAGAAATTGTAAGAGTGAGGCTATCCAAGGTTGAATGTTTAGGTGTTTCAATGTAATGCTGTTTCGTTTGTTAATGTGAAGTTTATGGAGTAGTTTAATGTTACCAAGGATCCATGTAACCTATTCCTCTGTGATGTTTGTTACCCAGTTTAGTGACAAAGATTATGAAAATTGTGGAGTAGTTTAACAATTGAGTATTCATACATGCTGTTATTATGTTGAAGTTATTGCACCTTTATTATATTTAGATATGGTTTAAATACAGATCCAAGTTTGTTATATTTGGAGTAATTTAACAATGGAGTATTAATACATGTTTAAAGTATCAAGTATAAACAAAAGAATGAATGCAGACACATGTTAAGTACAAGCTTCTAAATAAGGCCATCTAAAAGAAACGGCCAGACTTAATGCATGTGAGGAACCTTGTCTACATAAAGTGAAAGATTCCAAAAGTTAAAAGTAATAATGCAAAGTTGAGGCCATGTGACATGAAGTACATGTCTGCTTCCACAAAATGAAGGCCAACCCACTTGTAAAGCTGCAGGAATGATTCCAAGCCAAGCCCATGTGACTGGATTTATTCCACACCCCACCACACATCAATAATTCATATCAATCCCCCACCTACACCAGCATACCCCACCTGCATAAATATACACTCAAAATACAAACAAGACTTCTGCATTTGTGAATTGATGCCAACATGTAAACCCATCATCAGTACATATCCGAATACATCTTCATAATCACAAAAGTACTTGCATAGCCATCAAAATACATAATGAGTTTGACAAAATATATAACAAAACATAAAGCTAAAGTTTGACAAATTGGTCCACCAAACATACATTTAAGGTGCTTCATAAAGCCCCAACCTAACATATCTACCTACTGGATGCTCCTCTTCCACCCCTTCCTCTTCCAGCTCTTCCCCCCCTTCCTCTTTCACCCCTTGAAGCTCTAGTAGGTCCAGTAGCTCCCCCAGATCTTCCAGCATCTTTATTTCCACCAGCTCTTCCAGCTCTTCCCCCTCTTCCACCTCTTCCACCTCTGGATCCCCTACCTCCCCTGACAGTCTGATTACTTCCTGTTGCAGATGTTGGACAAACATGCCGTTGATGCCCCTTTTGGTTACAAAGAGAGCATGTCATCACCCTGCCCTTTCTTGACAGCTTGCCTGATGGAGGCTCACTTGCTTCCCGGATTCTTTTCTTCTTTGGGCGTCCAGTCATTTTTTTAGGTGCAGGGGGGGTGTATTTTCTCTCCTTCAACTCTAGGCCATGCCATTTCCCCATTGATTGGTTCCAAAGTGTAGGAATAGGTTCTTTTGAAGGCTGCAATGGAGTAACAGTCATGAATATATGCTTCTGGGTCCTTTCCTTGGTCAAACATTGCACATATAGCATGTTGACAAGGAATTCCTGTCAACTCCCAAGATCTGCAAGAGCAAGTCCCTCCCTCCAACTTCACCTTGTATTGATATTTCCCTTTTTTCACCTCAAAGCCATCATCACCATTGAACATAACCCTCCACTTTGCACTACGCAGAATGTTAACATTCAGGATCTTCTTGATATTAGGGCAGATTCTGCCTTTCCAATTTGCAGATAAGTCCCTCTTCTTTGCAATTCTCTGCATCATTTGAACCCTTATGTCCTCAAGCATGGGAATGATAGGCTTGCTCCTACAGGCCACTAGTGTACGGTTAAAAGCCTCTGACATGTTGTTGTCAATTGCATCACATTTCAGAGAAGTTCTTATGAAGGCTTTGCACCAGTTCTTGAAAGGGTATTTCTCCATATCTTGTTTTGCAGCAACATCCTTTTTCTCAAGCTCTTGAAGCCACTCTTGAAGTTGTGACTCACAAGTGGACCTAGCACACATCCAAAAGAGCTGCTTCATATACATCCCTCTGTGATTCTTGCTCCAGTTAGCATGAATGTGCCTTGCACAATATCTATGCTCAGCTTCAGGGAGTAAGCTTTGAATCACATTACTCAGGCCCTACACAATGGTAAGCATTCAGTAAGTCATGTCTTGTATAAGTTTCATAAGTGCTACATAAATATTAACTAAGTCCTCTCATTATAGTGTATAAACTCTCAATCAAAGTACACAAAGTGTTGACAGCCACATATAAAGTTAAAATTTGGTTTGACTTTTTTGCCTAAAATATGGAGACTTCAATACTTAATAAACAGGCACATTCATGACTAAAGAACTATACACAGGCACACTCACATTCATAGACACATTCATGAAAGTGTTGACAGCCACACAATTATACACAAGCAAGTTGAATACTTAATAAACTATACAGAGCCACATTCATGAATTACTACTGTACAGAGCCAAATTCATCACTTTCATAAATATACACAGGGAAATTCATGACTAAAAAACTATACACACTAACAGGCATCACTTAATAGTATACAGAGACTTATACATTATGTTCATCACTTATTTAATTAATTCAGTTAGTAATAGTGCTCAGTAACCTAAATTACCTTTTGTTGATCACTTATGACTGTCCAAGTGCTGCTATCATCCATGTCAAGATCATGCTTCAACAACTCTACAAACCATCCCCAGGAAGAGGTATTTTCAATCTCAACTATGGCCCAAGCAATTGGATACATGTTGTTGTTAGCATCCCTTCCAACTGCTGTAAGTATTTCCCCCTTCAGCAGCCCTTTTAGGAAGCATCCATCTAAGCCTATAATCTTTCTGCATCCCTCAAGAAAACCCCTTTTCATGGCACCAAAACAGCAATATATCCTCTGGAACTGACAGGGGCCATCATCAACAACTCTGGAGGTCATTATCTTCATGGTAGTGTTAGGGATTGAATCTAGCAACTCTTGACCATAGTCTCTAAGCCGGTTAAACTGCTCTTCAAAGCTGGCATTGATTTTCTTTTTAATGGATCTCACAGCCCTCCTCACCATGCTCACTGCAACATGAATGCCCAGCTCATTCTCTATGTGCTCCTTCAATGCGACATACCCAATACAAGGGTCATCCCTAACCTTGTCTTCGTACTTATCTTCTATCCATTTTTGACAGACAACCCTGAGCTTGAACTTTGGATTACATTGGTGTTTAGAGTGCATGGTTTTTAGTTGCAGGCATTTGAACCTCTCTTCCTAGCTGGCAAAACATGAGAAAGGGCAGTTCTTTTGAATGCATTCTGCCCGGACTCTTCTTGGTTCATTCCGCTTAAAATATATGTTCTTCTTGTGATGCACAGCATACCTAATCAAGGCATGCTTAAACTGAATGCTGTTTTCAAAAAGCATACCCAACTCAAGCAATGGGGGTTCTATCTCAGGATTGTATGAAGGATGGTAATCTTTATTGATGGATTCGACTTCTCCTTCATGCATAGCATCAGCATTGGTATCAGAAACATAGCTGTCAGGATTATCAGAAGGATACATCTCCATGCCGTCTTCATAATCATCATCCTCATCTCCAAACCTGGTATGATTCTCCTGCGTGGTGTCCATTACATCCTCATTTTCAGATTCAGCACCTACCTCAGACACTGTCTCAGATGAAGGAAGCTCTTCTTCACTCCCCAAATCTTCTTCTTCATCTGTCATGTCCTCCATTGCTGATGTGTGAATTTCCACATCACACAGGCCAACATTTTCCTCGGCAACAGATTGAACTGCTGCAACTTGGTTTCTTCTTTGTTTTAACTTCTTTCTACGTTTGGGCATCACTGCATCATCAACAGCATCCTGAATTTGAACTTCAAATTCCTCATCACCTAAAGTACCACCATCTTCCCCACCAGATGTGGAAGGTTGAATCAAATACAGTTCACACACTCCACAACTAGAAGACAGACTCACCAACTCCAATGTGGAAGCATCATCTACTAATTCCCTTAAACTTTCCAAAGGTTCACAAGGCAACTTATACATCAGCTTTCCAAATCCTCCAAATGGTCCAGACTCTATAAATTTCTTTAGATGTGGATAACTTACTACATCAGGATCACTTTTAATTATCTCTGTGCGGCCATCACTATACTGCATAGGAGAGCATGTGTGAAGAGTGCCACCATAGTTTAAAATCAAATCCAATGTCTCCCACATTCTGAAACAAAAGCAATATAGTACTCAGCAAAGCAGTGTGTTTGATGGAAAAGTCTACCACTTTATACACATACGGAATAACATAAACACATTTCGATAGCCAACGATATATATAGTTCTTAACAAATTGGAGTTACACCATTACACTGTATTACAGATAGTATAGTACATAAAAATCGAGAAATCCTCACTCACTTCGTTTACCTTAACGGCTTGCTTGGATTTTAGGGCTCGTCTTCCTCTTCGTGCTCAGCTATGACGAGTGGTCACTGAAGAAGTCTGCAAATGCGGGTTTTTTCAAATTAGGGTTATTGGGGTTAAGTCGCCAGAACCGTTTACTGTAAATGGATTTTGTTTTTAACACGTGGAAGGGGGTTAGGGTTGGGCTTATTGATGAGTCAGCATTTACTATGCTAATAACCGGCTGACTGTGCATTTATAGGGGACGAACGGGAGGTGACCGGGTGGATGTGAGGATTGAACAAATTTTTTTGGTTGGAGGATTGGATCGGAGCTTATTTGGGTTTGGGGTGGGAATTGAGCAATTTGTATACGTTCAGGGGCCAATCTGGCCCTTTAGCCTACAATATTTGAGTTAAAAGTGTTTCATATGTAGCTGAGATGAATGATAGTTTAATGAGCATTTTCGGTTAATGTATTGATATATATGTAATGTATCATAATGCTTACACAACTAATGACTGAATAAGGTGTTTTATTTTTAAATTTAAGAATATAATCAACGTCACATATCAAATTTTGCTTATTTCAAGTTAATATGGTGCTGATTTTTCTAGAAGTCATAACTTTTGACTCGTAATGAATTGCGGGACCCATAATATATCAAATCAAAAGTATTTTAGAGCTCTACATTTTTGAACTTTCAGCGGGGTCGGCTGACCACCCTGACCCCCTGGCAGGAAGTGTTTCCTTCATCATTTATGTCCCTTGTTGAGTGTTTTATTATCAATATAAGTCTCCTTGTTACAATTTTTTTTAATAAGTTCAGTCATTTTGGCGATTACTAATGGCCCCTTGGTTTGTCGTCAATGTCCTCACAATTGGTTTATACGTAATACACACACATTCATCATCCGTCA